TATTTCATTAGTTTTAGTCTCACAATACTAATTAGAGCAATCTAATAAACACTACTACTAAAGAATACTACTACTACAAAGTACACGTTATTTCGTGCAAACGCGTAAGAATACTGGTATTATTTATATTAGGATATTAAAATAGAATATAAATAACGGGACTAGTATAAAATATACACATATTAGTTCGAATTTGTGATCAAGATTGATCACAAAAAACTGATCACAAATTTGTTATTTCTGATCACATTTTTTTGTGATCAAAACTGATCACAGTTTTCGGTACCAGGAGGGGGACATGAGAATCTATTTTTTTTTCCAAAAAATTGAAATCGACATGGTTCCTGGCGGAGTCCGGTTTCAATTGTTACGAAACTCGTTGTAATCGTAAGAAAGACCGACGAGCACATGCTACGAGTACTAGGGTACCGTACAGTACGTATCGTTCGGGGATTCAAGTAGAGATAAAATCTGCTTCAATCCCAACATCTGTTTGACTATCATGGTACGAGTACGTACGTATGGTACGTAATTTACTTAGTACTATTCCAGTACGGTAGCATTTCGTATTTTCAATACTACGTCGTACGGGTACGAGAAGCTCTTTCTTCGATACAGTAGATGACGAGAGAACTCGTTCTTCTTGTGGTGTACCCGTACAGAACCTACTTCAGTCCCATCATCTGTTTCATTATCATGATAATTCCGATACTGATGACGGCGCACCGTCTCTTTTGGCGATACATATAACGAGAAAAAACTTCCGTATTTTGTAAAGGAATTGTTTTAGAAGTTACCTAACCTGATTGGAATGTGCATAGTAGTTCACTCTGTGGTAAAGAAGTTTGGGGTGCATTCGGTTGAAGAATCGGGCAACCATATAGGAAAAGAACGAAGAACTTTGCCTTCAAAGAGAATAATAAGTATGAGGGAGAATATTGAATAATAATAATATTGCACCCCCCTTCACGTGGCGCGCGCAAAACGAAAATCAACTGCTTTCACGTCTAGTGCCTTTTCTCACGAAAAACTCAACGTTCTGTGTGATTTTAGTTCTGTTCTTCTTACGAAACCCGTAGTTTTTCGGCGGGGATGGTTGTTCAGAAGCGAGCGCAATACGAACGATACCAAAGCCCAAGTTCGGTACCTATTAACAAAGGCAGGTATGACGTCAACTTCACCATGGTCGTTTTGCAGTATGGCCAAGAGTGAACCGTTGTACTTTTTGCTTGGAAATTATCGAAGCGTTTACTATTAATAACACCCATCTCTATCGAAAAGTTGGTGTACACAAAGCAACAAACATCATTCTGAATGACGATGATACGCGACCTTGCTGGTTTATACAATGAAACTACATCTCATTCCTATCAGAATTTAAATATAAATATCGTTTATGTATTAAGACTTCTTGTTTTGGCATCGCTCTTCTTAGCTGGCGATGCGTATGTACAGAGAATGCGTAGGCTTAGCGTGCAGTGTGAATCTATTGGCTTTCGTTTTGCTTTGGTTAGACCTTTCAAAAATTGAATTCGTTGCGATGTTCGATGACGGTTGGATGATTTTCATTAGAACTATAATGATAGAAATGGGAGTTCTCGGGGAGATGATGAAGTGCTCGGTTGCTTCTTTTCCGAGGGAAAATACTTCCTTTTGTGTTTCTTGTTTTGAGATGCACGTCCTGCTTTCGATGGAAGATGAATTCCCACACTGTTAAGTCGCTGTGCTCTATTTGCCTTCGGCCATATCATCGCATCGCTTCCTTTCAAGAGGCTTTTCCCCATGACCATTCGATTTGACGACGAAGATTCACACTTCAAGTTTTCTTGTTGCGTAGAATCACGACCTTCGACGGACGGCGATAGAGCAAATTTATTTGCAAGAGTTAAAGGAGTGATGAAACTATCATTCTTCCGATAGGATGGCTTCGGATGAAAAGTATGAGGTAGCACGTAGTTTTTGCTCCTTGACGAACGTTGAGACCGTTTCAGTTTCAATTTTGGAGTCAGCGGCTGGGTAACAGATTTTGAGTCGTTATCGAAATTAGGCAACAGTGGGAGAGAAGGGAAGGGCGATCTTGGACCTAGCTCGCCTCGGAGAGGAGTGGCCTTGTTAACATGGCAATCTTCATTTTCCATTTTTGACGAACAAACAGCCTCGGAATGCAGCGGAGCCGCTTTCTTCGGAGCATACTGAGGAAGATTCCGTATAGTCGTCCAATCGCCCTGCATAGTTGATGGAGATACTACGGTATCGCTCTCGCTGACTGTCATAGTAAAAGTTTTCTTCTTATTCTTTAGTATGCTTGCAAATGTTTGCGCCTCCTACTCGAATCGAAAGCATTGAGAAACGAAATATGTCGATAGCCGGAGTGAATGAAGAATTTTCGATAGTGAGAATTTCATGTTCCCGAACGGAAGAGGATCGTTCGTTGAAGAAGGTTTGTTACAGTACCAAAAATGTGTAATTTTATGCACATCCGGGACGCCTATGTAGAAACGATTGTATTGGGCGAACACTTAACACCGCACCTGAAATCCAGATGGGCTATGTCTCACGTCAGCCGGAGACAGCTGCCATAGAGTCCGGCGATTTTTTTAGCAATACTACAAAGCTCCAATTTGGGGATTCATCTTCAATAAACTAAGCCTTTTATGCACCTATGGAAGGTGTTAGCTTTTATTGCCCACTGAAAATTGACCTTTCTCGCCATGGAAATGAGCAGATGGCGCGCCTTGTATGTAATGCAAAAATACTCTATCAGATTGACGGTACGTGGTGACCAATCTTCGTCGCCGTCTCATTCATCAATGGTGTGTTCAACGGTACCAGGTACGAACCTACACGTGTATTAAACTCATCCGGATTCCCGCAAAACAAGGACAGACCACTAAAGCACGAGCACCACTGATTAAAGGGATGAAGCAAATCAGCTGAGCACACACCAATCAAAGCCACATCAAAGAAGACAATGAGACTCCAAGCAACACTCACTGGATACAGCTATCAGCCGTCTCCGTCTCATTGTGCTGTAAACTCCTGCTTTGGCATCAGTAGCTAAGACACCAGAACTGGAGCAATTACACTACAA